AAAAAAAAAAAAGTATACATTTAATCAGTGTATAAAAGGCAAATAAATTGAATATCTTGCATATAGTAATTCTTATGTACTTCATTCCACTCATTTATTAATTTGTTCATTTTACATATAGATTTGTTGATATGCTTTTGCACACTTTATTCACTTTTTTCAAGCCAATAAAATGTCTTCACTAACCAGCCAGTGACTACACTGGATGTTAGGATCTGAATGCAGTCCTAAGCCTTTCTTAGGGTGGGATTTTAAGCACAAAAACAACTTTTTGGGTTGACACATCTCAGTTAGCAAGAACAGTTAGACAGAATTTGAACTACAGAAGTTAAAAAGTAAGATTAGTACATTTAGAGAATTTTTCCCAGGACTATGGACTTCAATGGATTGGGTCTTTGCTCTTGTTTTGGTAGGTGGTACTGCCTACATGCTGGATTCCGAGGCCTGTCCATCATGTCATCAGTTGTGCTAAGGTATGGGAGCCTGTTACAATACCATGGCTTTCATGCCTGTTTTTTCTTTTATGTTTTTGAGAGTCACTATGTACACCATACGAGAATCCCTTGACTTCTCCCATTAGGTTTAGGATTACACGTATTAGCCACCATCAGTGGACTATCCATAGTCATCTTAAGAGAAACTACATATTTCAAAATTTCATTTAGCCTCTTTAATCAGCAGTTATTTCACAGGGAATAATTTTAGGGCCATCTACCAAGACAGTCATTCACCACAGAAACCAACCTTCTGGTTTAGGAAGAGTCTTGCAGAGAGGCCAAGTAAGTTTGCATATTTTATAATAAAATATTATTTTCTCATATGGGTTAAATTTAAAATGTTAATAAAATATCAGCTTTACAGTTCACTGCTCTGTTTTTATTTATAAGCAGGGGGGAAAAGTGAGAGGTGAATATGTGGATGAGCCTCAAGACTTACAGAAGCTTGCATATTCTGATCTTCCTGCTTGTCCAACCTGAGAATGCCCACATCATTTATATATCAGCTGATGCAATGAGAAAGGCCTGGGGCAGAAGAAGCAGTGAAACCCACATCTTATAGACACCAAAGGGATCTCTATACCCAGAGATGTGTTCTTTTGACAGCCTGAAGAGAATGAGGTTTATTCACAGTTTAGAGCTAATCCAAGCTGAACTTCAGCCTGTCTGTCTACCTCTTGAGATTAGGATTAAATGGGTCATCATATTATGCAACTCCCGTACAGGGTGGTTTCTGGGCAACTAGTCTCTGATTTGTGAGAAACATCAGTCAGTTCTTTGAATCATGATTCATTTAAAGACCGTTTTTACTGACATATTTACAGTTTACAATTTCCTTTGATTTGGATTTCTTAAAATCCGATGTCTGTGTTCTCCAGCTAGAAAAATACTTTCAGGCTTAATGAGATTTCCATTTTCATTCTGTTCACAATCATCAACAAAACAACCAGTGAGCTGCCTGCCAAACATGTTCTGCCACAGAAATTATAACTACAGCTGATGTTCGAACCTCATGGTGTCCAGGAACCAACAACTCTCAGGATAGCTGTAAATCACTGATCATTTATTCCAGAGTTTGTGCACAAAGTTTCTATGATGGTGATGATGTTGGCATTGGTGCAATGAACTGCTGGAAAAATCAAGAATCCATTGATACATTTAATGCAAATGACCACATCATTCATCTGGCTGCCATTCTACACATACTTTCTAAGTACATGGTTCACATTTCCAGGATCTTAAAATAAACATAAATATTTAAAAGCCCTGTCTTCAATTTGCTTGTTATCAAGTAGAATAGACTGTGGTGATATTTTACTTGTGCTGAAATGTGATATTTTATTTGTATGTTAATAAATAAAGTTTACCTGGAGATCAAAGGTCATAGTGAGCCATAAACAGAAGTCAGGTGGTGGTAGCACACAACCTTAATCTGATCACATGTCAGGCAAAGTCTCTGTGTGGTCAAGGATACAGCCAAGCATGGTGACACGAGCCTTTAATCCCAGTACCAACCATAGAGACCTTGAGGTCTGTATAGACAGGCAGTGATGAGGAAGTGATGTGGCTGGGCTTAGAGCCAATGAGAAGGCAGAACAGGAAGGCAATAAAAGCACAGGTTAGACAGGAAGAAGCTCTCTCTGGGGAAGTGACAGCAAGGTGATAAGCTAAGGCTAGTTGTGGCTATTCACCATTTCTCTGAACTCTTCAGCTATTACCGCTGTATTTGGCTCTGTGTTTCTTATTTAATAAGACTGCTTAGACATTTGTCTACAATAGACAGACAGAGAAGATGTGTCAAGCAGGTGCACAAGTGTTGCATAAACATAAGAGAGGGATGCTTAGATGTAGGATGTCAGAAGAATTGTTCCAGGAGAGTGACAAATAATCTGAGGCAAGAAGTATCAGTTAACTTGTAAAGAGAGACAAAAGGCCCCGAGCCACAGGAACAATGTAGTACAGACTGATAGGGAGTTCATGGCAGGTTTGAAAGCCCAAAGTCATTAAGGAAAACTGGACAGGGATTGGAGGATGAATCAGATTGAGTCTCTCTCTCTCTCTCTCTCTCTCTCTCTCTCTCTCTCTCTCTCTCTCTCTCTCTGAGGATGAGATGAGAGGTTGCTTTATCAAGTTTCACTTACTGACCTTAGATTTCCAAACAAAGGAAAATGATTTTCTTTACCTTTGTGACCATTCTAAAGCCTCAGCAGTGATGCCCCATACAGGAGATAGTTCATTGTCATATGACCCAAAGTCTTCACTCCCAGTTGTCATAATAGAGACAGAAAATCTCCACTTGATGTTTCAGTGTGACATCTCTGGTCCTCACCAAAAGTCGATGTCAACACTTGTATTTGCATTTATTTTTATCAGATGCTACCTGAAATGTGCAGTGAAGTCATTGAATGCTCCAGTACTTCTTTTCTCACTGCTGGAAATAAATGTTGAAAAGAAGCAATTTCATGTAAGGCAGATATATTTTGGCTGATATTGAAAGAGTCCATCCTGGCAGGGTGAGGACAGAGGTAGGAGCATCACGGAGCTGATCATCCACAGGCAGGAATCAGGAAGAAGTTAGGAAGTGGGCCTGGCTATCAGATTTCAAGGCCTGCCCACCATGATACACTTTCTCCAGTTAAACCAGACTTAAAACCTACCTCCTGCTGGAGACCAATGTTCAGATTCTTCAGCCAATGAGGTCTATTCAATCCATAGCAAGGGTATCCTTGTTCTTAAACCTTTTCTTTCGTCTTATTTCAAGGAGCCAAAACATCTAGTTGGTTTTCACTGAAACTTTCACTGAAACACGTTACCAATAAAACATCATTGATTGATGATCCTTGAGCTGAACAACAATCCTTTAGATGATTTATCTGCTGTAAAAGCAATAGAAATACATCACTTCTTTTAAGCAAGCCTCAATTTTGTGACATAGGAGAAAACACTAGGTAGTCTAATGAATACAGTACTCTTGAAAGAGTGAAATCAATGCAAGACAGAAAAGCCATGCTTATTCAGAATCTATCTGCACACAATGGTCATCCACAGAGCCACTAGTTCAGGGTGAGCATGCAAAGGAGCACTTGCCTTCCTTCTTTTGCAATTTTCAATCAATGAGTTCAAGTGAACTCTCTAGTTTTGGAGAAGCCCATTAACTAGAGCAATTATTTCACCTTCATTTAGCACCAAAGCCTCCTCCAGTACCCTAGAGTTAAAGAGCAAAAGTCAACTCACAGAGGGAGAAGCAGATGCTATTAAATGACTCACTCAAGATAGTACAATTTAGGACTGGAGCCAAAAATAGAGCAAACTCACCAGGACTGCTTTCTGGGTGGCAGTTATCTGATCAGGAATCAGTGCCTTGTGGTTTAATGTGTTAGTTGCAAAAACTCACAGAATATGGACATTTTTACTTTGCTTGGAGAAGACAGTGGTTTCAAAAACTAAATTCCCACAATTTCAGTCACTAACATTAATACATGGTTTGGGATTTGTTAGGTTCTGTTTATTTTCACAGTTACTATATCTTTTAATTTTCATCCATTTAGTATCTATGAAGTAGATCCATCCTATATTTTAGTGAAACAACTGCATTATACATTGGTTAAGCAATTGCTTAACATCACACAACTACTAAATAAATGTTAGAACCTAAGGTGCAGATATGCTCCCAACTTCCTCGTGACTTTGTCCTTAATGCTTAGCATGTAGTAGCTGTTGCTCACATAGAATGAACAGCCAGGATCTATTGAGATTGAAGGTCACATGGGTAGAATGAACAATTTGTGTCATTCCCTCAGCTTCATACTGCAGACTATCCAGAACCCACGTGGTCCAATCTATTCCATGTGAGCACATGGAGTGTCAGCTGATATTCAGAAGACCTTCTTCATTGTCACTCTGCCTACTTTGGAGACAATAGAGTATCTACTAGAGAGATCCTTCTGCACTCAACTCACGCTTCTGTCCTTTTATATCACATTGTTACCCTTACCTGTCTATTTATCTTTTCTGCTTTTCCTTCTCTGAGGTCATTTTTCCATATGCCTTATTTTATTTCTCTATTAGACTATGGACTTTGAAAGTAGATGACCCTGGGTTTCAATCTAATTTGTTCTATTCTAATTATAAAAATTTGACCATGGTGTCCATCTCTTTTTAATTAACTTTTAAAATAAACATTTATAATTTGTAGTTCGTAAGTACAAACTCCAAAGTAAAACCTCTAAAAAAGTCTTGTGTGTTGCTTTGCCTGTTTTCAAGTATCTCGTAGGATTAGTTGTTAAAACCTAATGTAAATCTACTCTGGTAAGTCTTTAAAAATCTCTCTGTGTAATGATTCATATGATTAACTAAAAATATTATTTCATAGGCTAGTATGATGGCTCACTCAGTAAAGTGCCTGCTGCACAAACTTGAAGACCTGAATCTGGATTCCCACTGCTGATAAACTGTAGAGGGAGAGAGAAAAATGCCTAATGTTGAGCTCTGGTCTCCACATGCATGTGTGTATACATGTATACACTAGTACACAGTGACACAAATATGTACTATATACACTAGTATACAGTGACACAACTCTGTACATACAACACACAAACACACACAGAGACACATATACAGAGAGGTGGAGGACTTTCTTTTCCTCCAAATCTCCCAAATTCTGTATTAGATTCCATTTGGCTACAGATTATCAGAATATGCTTTCTTTTACAAACCAAATGATTCTGAATTTCAAAACACAGCTGCCTCTACAGGTTTCAGATATGATTTCATATCTAAAATACACCATTTTGGAGTTGTGAGGAATGAATAAACCATGTAACTTGTCTAATACCTTGGCACACAGTAGGCATTTGGCAGACAGCTGTAGCAGTTCATTCAAAATACCCTCCTTTAGATTCATGTTTCTATGTTCAACATAGAAAAGGCCGCACAAAAAGGATTAGCAGTGCAGAGAAGTACGGGAACACATACAATCTTAAATAGAAGATTTATAATCATTATTCTGTAAATGACTTTAGTTCACTCATGGTGACTGGTGTTTTAGCAAGCTGCTGTCTTTAGTAATGTTAAAACCTAAATGTAATTTCCAAGCCTGATTTGTTACCTGCCTACTTCTTAAAGAGTGATTTGGGCATATGAGAAAACCAATGATAGGGATGTTACATGTTTAATTAGTCTTCAACACTCACCTCTAGGAAGTCTCTGCAAAGAATCAAGGCTTGCTTTAAACATAACTCTGTACACTGAAACAGAGAGTTAAGTATGGCAGCTCACCTAGAAGAAGTGACACATGGCGGCATCAAGTTGACCCTTAACAGAAAACATGGAATCATCAAGTGGGTGATAGGATGGAAGAAATGCAAGACCATGTGGTCTCCTGGAAAAACTGCAGTGGCTAGGCAGCATTATTGTGAACTACAAGAGAAGAAACATTATTGTTGGTGCTCAGGAAGTGAAAAAAATCAAAGGAACTGCAACAGAAAATGTCATAGCTGTCTGAAAAAAATGTAGTTAAAAATAGTTCATTTCTATTTGGAAAACTAGAACTTATTCTACTCCCAAGAGATAATTGCTATAACCACCCCCTCGGGTGTTTTCCTATGTCTCAAATTGGATAATGCTTCCCCATGATGACACTCTGGAAAGCCTCTACTGAATGTCTTTTTTGGTACTCAGCATTATGCTGGAAACTGGAATAAAGCTCTCGCCAAATATGAAAACTTATCACCAGGACAATTTCCACCTCTGTTGAAAACCCAAACTCAATTACACTCCAGGCAGTGTTCCCTCACATCAAACCTTCAGTGTATTCAGCAGTCTCATAGAAGAAACTCAGTTTTGAGTACTACACAAGGGCAATGTCTGTGAACACCTTTGTCATCAAGACACTTGTTGCTTGAAGCAGAGCATTAAAAACAGGACTCAGATCTGCACAATATGGCGGAAACAACCCTGAACTAAGTCTTTCTATATTTCATTGATAAATAACAAGAATATTAAATCAAGTTAATTAATGTATTCATTTTCATCTTTCTACATTATTTCAAAAACACCACACAATACCCAATAAATGTAAACAATTATGATTTATCAATTAAAATTATGCTAACTTTCTTCAAATATTTGGTTTTCCATTAATTTTTCTGTTCTAAGCATAGAAGCATTTTCATCCTCCAATTTTAATTCTAACTCTTAAAGTTATCTCTCCCTCCCAGACTTTTTTCTTTTTTTAAATAATTTTTTATTAAGAGATTTTTCTATTCCGTTTACATACCAACCACAGATTCCCCTGTCCTCCCTCCTCCCACCCCCAGGCTTCCCCTCCAAGCCACCCCCCATTCCCACCTCCTCCAAGGCAAGGTCTCCCATGGGGAGTCAGCAAAGCCTGGAACATTCAGCTGAGGCAGATCCGAGCCCCTCCTCCCTGCACCAAGGCTATGCTAAGTGTCTCACCATAGGCACTAGGTTCCAAGAAGCCGGCTCATGCATTAGGGACAGGTCCCGATCCCACTGCCTGGGGCCTCCCTATACACTTCAAGCTAAACAACTGTCTCAATTATCCAGAGGGCCTAGTCCAGTACCATGGGGGCTCCTCAACTATTGGTCCACAGTTCATGCATTTCCACTAGTTTGATTCATAGAATTCCTCCTCTCTCTCATCAATTGGACTCCTGGAGTTCCGCCTGAGACCCAGCCATGGATCTCTGCATCTGCTTTCATCAGTCACTGGATGAGGGTTCTATGATGACAGTTAGGGTGCTCAGCCATACAATCACCAGAGTATGCCAGCTCAGGCACCCTCTCAACTATTGCCAGTAGTCTATGGTGGAGTCATCCTTGTGGACTTTTCTCTTTAACTTAGGGCTGGTTGTTGATAAAATTTCCCCCTACCATACATATGTTAATGTCCTAACCCATAATGTAATGGTGTTTAGAAATGAGGTCTTTGAGAGATAATAAGGCTTAAATGACAAGCAAGAACTATCCTGATAGAAATAATGTCCAAGAAGAGACATGGAAGAGCTATCTTTGATAATATACAATCACACAAGCCAGATAAAGACCCTTACTAGAGAGCAATTTTGTTGGTGTTTTGATCTTGTAACATCCAGAACTATAGGAAACATGTTTTTCTTGTTTAAAGCATCCAGTGCATGGTATTTTGTTATAGTAGCCAAGTAGATAAAAGATAAGATTCAAACCTAGTAACATATAAAATTTTTGAAATTATTTATTTGCTGAATGATTAACTTTTTTGTATATGTGTGCCTGCATGAGTCTATGTGCACCAAGTGGGTGCAGGTATACATGGAGGCCAGAAGAGGGTGCCATATCATGTGGAATTGGAATTGTAGGTGGTTATGAGCTGTCTGATGGGTTCTAGGAATGGAACCAGGGCCTACTTAAGATTCATACTTGCTTTTAACCTTGGAGCCATCTCTCCATCCCCTTTACATCTGAAATTTAATTGGTTCACATGGATCCTAAAACAAGGCCTATTAAAGTGTGTTATTTAAAATATTTTAAGCAAATACTCTTAGGAGCTGAGCAAATCTAAACAATTAATTTGCTGAAAAGATAAAAGCAGTGACAGCATGCTATGTCAAGCCAGTGAGCTGACATGTTTTCTTTGAAGGTACCATCAGTAGATGATCACGTGTTAACATAAGAATGTTTGGTAGTTGTGTGTAACTAACTACACTTTAAGAGCAGGAAACAGGTGATTAGTTCCATAATGATAGAACACCAAAAAGAGTCTTCATATCTATGTACAATAATGATTTGTAGCCTGCCTGTTGGGAAGCCTAATGTATTGAGAAGAAATGTGGAATTTTATTTGTCCTAGAACCAGTCTTGTAAATGGCCCCCATTCCAGCTTTCATTAGTTATAGCAATTAATCTGGTTTATATATTAGAATCTGGCAAGACTTCATTTAAAAAAAGATTCTGTTCATGCAAATGAAAAATATCCAGGATTCAGTGTATCAGCTTCTTTCTAGTCCAGGTAAGGTTTACATAGTTCCTTTGAGCTTCTCTGAAAACCAGCCTTCCTCTTGCTTTGCATCACTGCTATGCTGTGGTCTTCCTCCTTTTCCATGGCCTATGTTCTTATAAACAAGTTTAACCCATTCCCACTGCAGGCGAAAACCATAACCGAAGCAAGAGGTTAAAAACTACAGCATGTGCCTAAGTGTACCCATCTTCTATACCTTATATGTGAAGCTTTGTTATTGTACGGCCATCCTCTTTGTTTAATGTATCATTCATGGGTTCTCTACACTGCTGAGGCAGAATAGTTTCCATAGAAACCATTCGGTCCACATGAAGACTTACACACTTCCTGTTTGGTCCTTTAGAGGAGAATTTTCTTACCCCTGGTCAATTTTCTCTAGGAGACTACTAAGACTATTGATTTCCTAGAATTGAAAGCTCAAATTTGGATTGAAATCTGATACTTTTCTGTCTTGCTCTCTCAAATTATTTGAGGTCAGTATTCTCTTGACCAGTAGAAACATGGCTAAGCACTGTTAGAAACATGTGGAGGACATCAAAGCATGCCATAATTTGTTATAATCTATGTTTTTACTTATAGACAGACACAAGATTTAGACAATTAGTTTTTACGTGTACATGTAATTATCGTTTTCTGGAAGACATTCAGTTTGATAGGTGATCTAAAGAAAAAGTGATCATTTTAATGATACATTTGTGCATCACTTCTTCTAATCCGTAATAGAGAGTAGTTTTCCTCCCATAGGCTTTAACCTTATAGCTCTCTGTACTTTGTAGGGATAGAATTAATTCCATTTCCCTTTACTCTAACTAGCTAGATGTTTACAACTTAAACAAGAAGAACATGTGATACAGAAGAGAGGATCAGGGAGATGTACTGAACTGCATAAGAGCTTTAAAATCCAACAGTAAGAATGGGAATTTCAAAGATAATATTCATTAGGTGTGTATTTTAGGAAAAATTATTTAGCTTCCAAAAGCCTCAGTTCCTCCCCATGTAAAACTGAAAGCATAGTTCTACATCTTGACAGTATCATAATGACAGAATGGAAGCCAGTGTCTTAAGGTCTTTCCCTAATATTTGACAGAGGAGATGTTCACAACATTTAATTACCTTTCTTTTTCTATCCCCTCCCACTTCTACCAGGATAATTTGATTAGCCTACTAATGTTTATAAAAACTCATTACACTTAGCATTAGTAATATCATTTGAAATAGCTGGTATGGTATTTTCTTTTCTAAATTGGAAAATTAGTATCTCAAACATCCCTAAAGTCCTTTTATTAATCTTGACAAAGATAAATATTTGTTTTAGCCCATAGGTAGGTAATAAAGTCCATTTCAACAAATAGTATGGCAAAAACCAGCCTTTGATGCCACTATAGACACTGTTTTATATGTGTAAATTGAGATAGAGAACTGTGACTGGATCTGTTTTGGAAAGGACCAAGTTATGTCATTTGTTTGTTTGTTTGGTTAGATTGGGGTTGGTTTTTTTTGGTTTTGTTAGTTTGCTTGTTTGTTTTGTTTTTACCTCAAAACCTCAAGTGAGTGTTTGGGTAGAGTTATTCCAATAAATATTCTTTGAGGCTATTATAAAAGGTATTACTTCCCTGATTTCTTTTTTAGTGTGTTTGTGATTTGCATATAAGAAGGCTATTGGTTTTTTGAGTGTTAATTTGATGTGCTGCTACTTTTCTGAAAGTGTTTATGAGCTGTAGAAGTTTCCTGGTGGAGTCTTTATGGTCTTTTATGTACATAATCATATCATATGCAAATAAGGATATTTTGACTTCTTTTCATATTTGTCTCTTTTTCATCTTCTTTGGTTGTCTTATTCTCTGGCTGGCTAAGACTTCAAGTACTATATTAAACATGTATTAAGAGAGTGGTTTTCCTTGTCTTGTTCTTGATTTTAGTATATATGGTTTAAGTGTCTCTCAGTTTAGCTGATATATATGATGGGCATGCTGTAAATTGTCTTTTTTTTTAATGTTGAGATATGTCCCTTGTATCCCTAGTCTCTCAAGGACTTTTATCATGAAAGGATGTTGGATTTTGTCACAGGCTTTTTCTGCATCTAATGAGACAATAATGTGGTTCTGTATTTTGTCCTATTTATTTGATGGATTATGTTTATCCATTTATGTATGTTGAACCCAACTTGATCATAGTAGATAATCTTTTCATGTGTTCTTGAATTGTATCTGCAAGTATTTTATTGACAATGTTTGTATCGATGGTTCCTAAGGGATATTGGTGTATGATTTTATTTTTTTGATGTTAAGTTTTGGCGTGGTTTTGATATCAAGGCTGTAGTGGTTTCAAGTGAGTGTTTTTTTAATTTATTTTGTTTTTTAGATTTGTTATTCACTCATTGTTTTTATCTGGATGTGTGTAT